TCATTTTTCTCTCTTGAATCTTGATGGCTACATGTGTTGCAATCATATTTACTTGCTCCGTATTGGAAACCAACATAATGGTATCCTACCTACAATGTGCCCGTCACAAGGCAGGTTTTCCTCCAGCCATGGAAGCCACAGCTATTTTGTTTTAAATAAGCGCCAGATGAAAGATGGCTTGTGTTAGAGGCCATGTTGTAAGAAATGAGACATATATTTAAATACCAAAAACACACTCAATGGAGCAAGAGGTGTATATTATAAGAGACATGTGGGGACTCAGGCCAAGTAGGAAAGAGCAGATTTGCCTTTGTGACAGCATATATAGTCCAGATAGGAATTTATGGAGCTGAATGTAGATGAAATAGCCCACACTATTTATATGACTTTTTGTTTTTGGAGGGAGGAGTAAGATCCATATATTTTAATTTGCATAAATTAAATTGTCATATGATACAATTGAACTATGCTTTTTAATTTTGCCTACACCTGCACTGTCCAATAGAGTAACCACTCCAAATTGGAATGTGTTGTAAGTACAAAATACACACTTATTTCAAAGATTTTGTATGTAAACATGTAAAATATCTCATTAAAAATTTTATATATTGATGTCATTTTGAGATTATAATATTTTAGGTATATGAGTTTAAATGAAATCCTGTTAAGATTATTTTCACGTGTTTCTTCTTACTTTGGTTTAATGTGTCTCCTAGAAAATTTAAAATTACATGTGGCTCCTATCAAACTTCTATTGGACAGTATTGGCCTTCACAAATGATTTAGATTCAGTTTGGAATTATCCTGGACTAAAATTTTGAATTGCTAACACATGTTAAACTTTATAAAATTATTTGAAAACTGCCCCTTTTCTTCAACAATCCTACCAGATTTAAGAAAACATTGGCTCAAACTTTCTGTATTTAAGCTGATAATCCAGGACCCTCTGATCTATTTTGCTTTACAAATGGCTTCAGAATGATCAAGTCGCAGAAGTCATTGGAAAACCTGTAGTATTTATGGATTACATAATCTTCTATTGGTCTTCAAGTTTGAACTTTTTGTGCTCAATAGAACTACTTCTAATTTTAAAAGTTTTAATTCCTTCTTTTCTAGATGCCACATATATTATTCAATTATTTTTGTTCCAACATTTATTAGGAAAATTTGAAACACACAACTAACGTGCATACAATAAGAAAAGATCTAGACATCTGGTTTCAACAGACTATACCATTTGAAGTGAAGGAGTGGAGGCAAATCATAGATCAGCCCCCAACTGTTTAAATACAAGGTACACAGTATCATATGCAGCAAGGAGGAGAAGCTGGAGATAGGTTGGAATGTTGCCAAATGCTGATTCTTGCACCCTAAAGAAGGCAGGCACCTTACATCTTTATTATCCTAGTTTTCAATAAGCAAAAAGGGCTCCTGGCTGATAATATTTACCAAATTTACCTCCTGGAAAAAAAATGATAAATTGAAAAAATATTAAATAGATGAAATAAGTAATAAGACAACCTTAACCATGAATGACCTTTATAATCTACTCAATGACCTTTATAATCATTCTGTTCTTTACATTTTTATAAGTGATACAATAACAGATTTTTTTTTTTTTGGTCTGTTGACTCTGCAAGAAAATGAGTTAATAGAAAGTTTTCAACTTCTTAAGTACAAAAGAGAGAATATGATTTTGAAAGGAAGGACACAATTGAAGGCCATTGTTAGGAAAATTACAGGTTGTACCTAAAAAAGACGTACAGGTGGCAGTTGGGTCAGCTATACCAGTAGGACAAAGGTCTGTGTCAGAAGGCCCTTGTCCTCAGTATGGCCTTTCCAGAAAAATGCCTTTTCATCTTTTCATTACAAATGTCCTCATTATAGCAGGTAACATCAGTGTTTCCCTCAGATCTCTTTAGATCAGATCCATTTTTGCTATTTTTAGATCAGATCTATTTTTGCCATTTTTATGCTCCTGCCTTCAGCATGTTTTTTCCCAACAGGCAGCACATGAAGATGGTTTTTTGGAAGAGTGCCCTCAGGCTCCTGGAGCCTACTTTGCCCACATGCACGCAAAGTTGAAAGTGCCTGGTAATGTACGTCCCTCCACCGTGGGCATCTTAACCAGGGACAGTCCTGAAGCAGAACTTCGCTTCCATGGCTCCCTGTAGGATCAGTGTGCAGCTCCTCTCTGTAGGAGTCTGAGATCACAGTCACTTGGCTTCCTGTCCTTCACTGTCCCACTGCATCCTCAGCCCCTGACTGGTTTCTCTTGGGAGCATATCCTGATTATATCACTTGGCCCACAAACCCACAGCTAAGGGTCTGCCTCTGGAGAACCTACCCTAAGATACTCAGCCACCCAGGTTCTCTCATCTCTCTAACCACAGCAGGCACTGAAATCCTAAACTTATTTCCAACTAATGCTAGTATTCATCCTAAACTCCAACTATACCCTGAATTACCATTCCCCAAGCTCTATCCACATTATCCCATCTTCTTGCCTTCCCATCTATCATCCTTGCTATGTAAAATTCTCTGAGCTCTGCCCTTCCCACATGGGCCTTCCTTGGCTCTCCCATGCTGTCATTGAGTCTCCTCTCCTGTGTACACACTGTTACCAGGGCACAGTCTCTGCAGCCACGCTCCTGGGTTCAAATCCTGGCTCTGCTACTTCCAACGGGGTGACCTCAGACAAGTTACTTAATCTCTGTTTTGTTCAATTTCCACATCTGTAAAATGGATATAAAAGTCAAGCTACTTTGAGCATTCTTGAGCAAATGAAATGAGATAATTTATATGCAAAACACAGATGACTGGCTCATAATAAACGTTAGCTGGTGTTTTTATATTGTGATTATTTGTTTAGGGATCTATTTTCCTTGTTAGCTCCTTAAGGGCAAAAGTCATATCATATTCATCTTGACAAATGTATATTGAATAAAATTCTCCATCAAAGAGCAGTTCTCTTGGGAAGGATACCATTTTAAATCATTAGTGTTGAATCTCTCAGGACTCTATAATTTGCATACCACCTTCCTGATCTTTTCCATATCTCCTGATAGCCTGTGCTATTTTTTATTCATTATGTTTCTTTAAATTGATTTTATGGCAATCATTTTTTAAAACTTTGCCTAATACAAAGAAACAGAATATCTGAAATCACAGGTTTAATGAGTTAATTGTGCTTTTCCTAATGTTCATTAAAATAAATATGTAACCCTTAAAATAAAATCTGTTCATCCATATTCCCATTGATATCCCTGCCTCATTTTGGAAAACTGCCTCAAAAAGTTGGTAACTAGTCAATAGATGTCCATGAATGTGAATGGAGTTTGGATAAATATTAGGACAGCAATAAATCAATGCACAAGACCTCAGAGTGGCTAAATCTCTGTTTTAAGCTCATATTAACTCACAATAGGATCTTTGTCACTCAAATGCTATGAGCTGAATACTCAAGCACAGAAGACATGTTATATGTTTTGCCCCATCCAGCAAAGGAATGGCCCCTGCCCCCCAAGAAACTGGGACCCCAGGCAATTAAAAGTAAATCAAAGCACAGATTGATGGCCTCAGGATGGGCATGTTAGAGTGTAAGTTCATGCTTCCTCCTGTCTTGTCTGAACATGCCTCCTGTTGGAGGTGAGTTTGAAACTGAAGCGAGAAAGAATCTAACAGATGGAGAAAGGAAAACAGTCATTCCAGGGGTGTGGGGACGAGGCCCAGTGAAGGCTAAGTGGAGAGGGACATAGGCCCCCACTCCACCCTTCATTTCTGGAAGCCTCAGCATAGGCACACTGTGGACTAGTCTTTCCATGACACTAAAGTGACCACACATCCTGGCGCTCGCTATGCATCCCAACTGAACAAACAAATGTCCCAGGACAAACTCCAGGAAGGATTCCTCTGGGTCTTCTTATTGCCACCACCTGGCAAAGCCCCATTATCTAGGTTGGGAAGCACAGAACTTAATTACTACATTTAAAATTTGCTAAAACTTTACAAAAGAAATATTAGAATTGATCATTAATTGGACTTAGAGCAAGACGTAAGACTATGATAAACAAGAGAATGAACCTGAAAAGGTGCAATTACCTCCCAGAAGGGCAGGACAGCTGAATGATTTATGTCTCAAATGACTTGAAGCAGGAACCAGGTGCACAGGAATTCGGGGGAGAAGGGGGGAGTGGAAGAGGTTGGGCCTAAGGACAGTAGTTTACACTCCTAATTCTCATACTGTAGTCATGATGCCAGCACCATTGGCATCACCTGGGAATTTAGTGGAATTCCACCCCAGACCTACTGAATCACAATTTCATTGGTATACACATTAAAGTTTAATGTGGTCTTACCAGCCTCTCTGCCACTTCATGCAGTTACAAACACATGCTCAGTGGGCTCTTGGCTTCCTCCCCTTTCGGATGGGCTTCCCTAGCACCTGCCAACCACCATTTGGGAAGCGCCGTTCTAACTCACCCCACGCTCTCCTTCACTCTCATTGGCCTCTTCTCATGGCCTCCATTGCCAACATTGCCAGCATTGTTTTCCTTGCCAACATCCTTCCTGCCTCATGGCCTTTGCTTGTGCTGTTTTTCCTGCCTAGAACACTCTTCCACTGGCCAACCCAACTCTTCCATCAAGTCTCAGCTTAAAAATGTCACTTCCTCCAATCACTCACTCTAATACAGGTACACCCCGCCCCATGGGCCTCAGTTCTCTTCCTTCATAATAATCATTACCACTTGTCATCACAAATGAGCTACCTTCCCCACCAGATGGTTCAGGTGGAACCATGGCTGTTTGTTCACCGCTGTATACTCAGCACCTACACAAAGCCTGAATCAGAATAGGTGCTCAATAAATACTGTTTGAGTGAATAAATAATTGAAGCCAGTTTCTTTACTACAAGACTCTCAGATGCTAATGAGCATCATCAATCTCCAAGAGAATAATAAAGTATCCAGTGTTTCTTAAACTAATTTGTCTCTCTGTAGAAAACCTATTGATGTTCTGGGGAACAGAGTGCTACAGAACACAGTTTGGAAAATCTTGGGGTAAGTAAAGGTGAGCGAAGAGAGTGTTCCTAGAAGTCAGAGCACTATAGAAATCTAGGGAAGATAAAAAATAAGAATCCTCACTTTTAGAGCTCCTTAGAGGAGGAGCACTGTGAAAGACTGCGTTTTTATTGTAATTACGTAAATCTCCCAAATCTGGGGTGAAGATTCGTCCATCAATGAAAACAACCAAAGGAATATTAAAGACTCCAGAACCATGAGTGGAGGAGTAGAACAAGACATGAACGCCTGGCTACCACCACTATGGAACGGCAGCCTCTTTAGAAAGCCCACGTTATAATCATTTAGAAATTAGTTTGCTGAGCCATCTTTCCCTGGGATCACTGCACAGTACAAATGTGATAGAATTACCCATCACGTCAGTCACCGAAAGGGCAGAAATAAATTATCTTTGAGGAGACCACAAAGTGAAGGTGTTCTGGTTACGACTGCTGGGTAATAAACCATCTCAAAATGTAGTGGCTTAAAACAGCAACAATCATTTGTTTTGTTCACAGATCTGCCACTTGTGCAGGACTCGGTGAAGGAGGCTCATCTCTGCTTCAAGCGTCTTCAGCCGGGGGGAGCCTGACTGTGGCCTGGAGGGTCCTTTCAAGATAGCTCACTTGTAGGATTGGGAAGTTGGAGTCATGCTGGGGACTCTGCCGGGGCTACAGGCCTGGGGCCTCAGTTCCTCCCTACGTGAGCCTCTCTGTGGGATGCTTGGCCTCCCTCCTAGCATGGAGGCTGAATTCCAAGTGTGAGTATCCCAACCTAACCACGAAGCTTCACGGCCTTAGCTAATCTGGCCTCAGATGTCACAAAGCATCACTTCTGCTTCACAGGAGTTACAAGCCTACCCAGACTCAAAGGAGCGGCGTTAGATTCTACTTGATGAGGGAACAAAACATTCTAGAAGAGCACAGAGGATGGAAGATATTGTTGGAGCCATCTTTGGAAAATACAATCTGCCACAGAAGATAAGATGTAAAGAAGCTTTTTGTTTTTTTAAATAAAAATACAAAACTTGTTAAAAAAAAACAAACAAAAAAAACAACTCTGAAGGGAGGAAAGATAGATGTTAACATGGGTCAAGTTAAAGTAGCAAAAACCCAAATAGGTCCAGTGGGAGCACCGAGAACACCCCTTGCCCCAGTGAGCTGTGGATTTGATGAAGGTTAAATAGTAGTGTGTGCAGAAACATAAAACAGGTTAAGGTGCTGGCAAGACCAAACTAAAAACCAAAATCAGTTCTACCTACAGAATATCCACAAGGCTGGCCAACACTGGTGATTTAAAGGCAGAGGTTTCCAAATAAGCCTCAGATTTTCTGGTAGAGTCCCAATTTCAAATATTTTGTCACCGTGACAATCCTGAACTGAGCCTTGAAAGATGAGGAGGATTTAAATATTCTGCCAGGCAAGATAACCAAACAACAGACTGAAGAGTGGGGAAGGGAGCAACAAAAAAAGTGATCTTTTTCCTTTTTCCTTCCTTTGCTCAAAGTGTCAGAAGATATATGTTTTATGAAAGCATCCAGCACAAAGTAGGCTCTGAAAAAATGGTTATCAACATCAAAGATTTTTCCTTCCCCAGCCTACCACAGGCCTGAAATTTTCACCATTAGACAGTCTTTCCTTTGGTTAAGTTAGCATGGAAGACATGAAGATGCACCACTCAGATCCCTCTCCAAGAAAGGACTCAGTGTCCAGCTTCAAAGAGTGTGGGTAGCTGACAGCTTCCAGTGGTCAATGTCTTTAAAGTCTGCCTCCACTTTCAAGCCAAGATCATACTTTTATCAGGGTTGCCCAGCCAATGACTAAGCAAACAGTGGTACAGAACCCAGCCATTTCCACCCAACCTGGTACTCCTATATTGGGCAATCTTTACTCTGGGGTTCCCCATTGGGCTGACGGAGGTTTATTGGGTCTGTATCATAATCTGACATCTCCCAATGTCAAATTCTGCTTCATGCTCCTTTGATTTCACGGGTACGACTTCCCCATAAAAGTTTTAGACTCTTAACTTCCTCTTAGCATCTGCTTCGGTGAGAACCCAACCTACAACAGGCAGCAGCCTCAAAGGTTCTCTGTGATAAGGCCAATATCTCAGTATAGAAGAGTACAGTAAGCCACTCACAGCCTGCAGCACCTTAGAAAAGCAATGTGGGAATGAGACACTACACATGTAATTTCGATAGAGGCAGAAAATAGGTTCGGGAAGCTTTGAATATTTTCATGATACAACATTGCATTAGCGGCCAGGAAAAGAGCAGACAGTAGACAAAGCTTTAAAAAATGTTGTTGATCTTCAGGACAATTTTGCTGGGAGGAGAGGAGTCTTGAGCAATCCCTACCCCTTCCAAACAAGTACCACTTTGGAACAAGACTTTCCTTTGTCTCCAGGCTATCCCTGAAGTTGCTGAAATTTGTGGATCTCAAACATAAGGCTGAATAATACATCTTGACTATAATATATTAACAACTATTCATTTTGCGGTACTAATTTTACATTTCAGCTTTTAGTTGGGTATTTTAAAAGGATCACTGGCTTACCCAGCCCTGGGCTGTTTGCATCTTGAAATGCTCAGCCATCCTTGATAAGAATGAGACCTACCCTGCGCTTGTCCCAACCTACCCTTGTCCCAAAGATAGTGAGGACCAGGCAGGCCGAGCAAAGGGACACACTCCAGGAATACAGGTTGCTTGCTATTGCACCAGCTGCAATCCACTGAAGAAAGTCTGCTTCTCTGTCGTTGGCCCAGGCAGGCCCCCAAGCTGTGAAAAGAACTTCACCTCGAGCATCAGCAAGTCTCGCACAGCATCAGACCTGGCATGAGAGAAACCGAAATCCTTGCACTCCCCTTTTTCGAATGGTCTCTTCCCTTTTCTTCCCCATTGGGAATCAGAAACTCACAAGGCATCTTGCTTATGTAATCACCCACACCCTAAGAATCTGCATAAATATTCATTCATTTTGTGGGGAAACCTACTTCTTAGTTTTTGTCCTATGCCTGGAACTAGGGACTTACTCCCTAATCTGAGTAATGCAAGGGTCACAAAGAAATGCAATCCGCTGAAAAGTCTTGACGCTGCCTTACAAGGTACAGGATGAAGAGGACAACTGGGTCAGTTTCCCTGGACAGACTCAGGCCCTCCCATCTCTGGTTGAACAGCCTTCTCCCATCAACCGATGACCTCGCCAGCCAGTCAGCAGCTACCTTTTTCTCTACTTTGTCTTCTTCTACCTCACAGATTCTTCTTGCTCATAATGTCAGCTTCTTGAAATTTTCTGCTCACTTATGACACTTTATGCTTCACGTTCTTTTGTGCCTTTTCACCTCCTGCCCTGTTCCTCTACTTATAAGTCCTCCCAGATGCTGTCAAGGCCCTTCCCCTAGCCTTTCTGCCTGCCCGTGTCCGCCCACAGCTGTAGCAGACAGTTTCCAGCAGGCTGAGCTTCCCGATTCAAGCGCCTTCCCCTTCTCCACCTGAAGGCCGGTAGGGAGCTTCCTCAGCTGTGGCAGGTGCAACCCAGAAGGGTGTAGGAGTTAATGCCACAAAACTGGGCAACCCATGAGGGACAGAACTCTGTGAGTCAATTCTCCAGCTTCCATGTCTTCCAGGAGGACAATTTTGGCACGAGTCCCATATAGTTTCTCAAAGAATCCCCAGTAGAGTTGAGCTCTAGTTGCCCATCATGGCAATAACTCATTGACTATTAGTTTTCTCTCCTCCATGTCTGACTTTTCCTTCTACCTACTTGTGTTCCTGAAATCACCTCCCAAATAAACTACCTACACCCCAAGTTCCTGTCTTACCTGGGGGAACCTTAGCTAAGACAAGTCTTAGTTCAATTCCCAAGAGAATTTGACGTATTCCCCCTTAATCACCATTGCTTACACATAGACAAAGGTTTTCACACAACAACACTACACAGGCTATTGGCCACTTATTTTTGACTGCCCTTGCATCCAGATCTGTGGTCCAAACACTCCAGGTAGAGGCGGGAATAAAACATGGCTGATAAGAGATGCTTCTCTAGGCCGGGCGCTGTGGCTCACGCCTGTAATCCTAGCTCTTGGGAGGCCGAGGCGGGCGGATTGCTCAAGGTCAGGAGTTCAAAACCAGCCTGAGCAAGAGCGAGACCCCGTCTCTACTATAAATAGAAAGAAATTAATTGGCCAACTGATATATATATAAAAAATTAGCCGGGCATGGTGGCGCATGCCTGTAGTCCCAGCTACTCGGGAGGCTGAGGCAGAAGGATCACTCAAGCCCAGGAGTTTGAGGTTGCTGTGAGCTAGGCTGACGCCACGGCACTCACTCTAGTCTGGACAACAAAGTGAGACTCTGTCTCAAAAAAAAAAAAAAAAAAAAAAAAGAGAGATGCTTCTCTAGCAGGAGGCCTTGCGTGGACCCATCTTCCTCAGAAAGGCTTTGAGAAGGACGAGCATTCTCACCAACTGATGCAATATGGAATCTGAATACCTACATCTCTATCTAGACATACCCCAGTAGTATGTATGGCATATCCCCCTTCATGAGATATGCCTATTGTTCCAGACACTGCATTTATTTATAAATGCAAGAGATTCAAACAACTCCAGAGACTTATAAGCCTCCCAGTTTTGTTTCCTCTTCTTCATAAGTTTCTTCTCCCAGTAAAGTGTTCTATGGTGGATTCTGCCAAGAAAAGATTAATTAAGCATACATGGACTTGATTCGGCAAAATGTCTTTGTGAAAGGAATGAAGGAGGCAGCTAGAGGAGACTGAGTTAGTTGTCAGATCATGATGCAAATGTGACCCCAAGTGAAGGAGAGAGGGAGAGACAATTGAGTGGAAGCATCTGAGATCACTATGCAGTCAAAGTAAGCTTTGGTAGAGCTGTTGCGGAGTCCCTTGAACCCTGGCTAACAAATGGCTAACAAGGGCGTCCTATGCTTCCCAAGAATTGTCCTGGCCCGCGGGACCTTCTGTTACTCGCGGGGGCGAGGGGGACTGTGCCTGAAAGAGATGGGCGAGAGAAAGAAACGAGACCAAGCAAAGGGTTGTCAAGGTCTACTTTACTTGGATTTTTAGTAGGTTTTATATACAGAAAACAAGGAAGTAGAAACAGAAAAATAGAATGGGGGAATAATGAGGCTTTCCTGTGGGCTAATCAGCCCCAATCAGCATCCCAATGGCACCGGAAGCTCTTTGTGATGGATCACTCAACCCCAACCTGGCAGGGGGTTGGGAACAATTGCAGGTGGCATGCCCTGGAGCAAGCATGGCATGGAATGCATTCTTCTTGGAACTATAGCTGGGGGGCTGGGTGCTATTTTCGTCTTAGGCTATTTTCCGGGCGAGGCCTGTGCGTAGGACAAGTCGTTGGAATGTGAAGGGTCTTAGTCTCCAACAAAGAATAGATTTACCTTAGAGTCCCCACCACACATGGTCATTGGTGGACAGCAGCCCAAAAGAAGTATGGCCGTGGCACAAACACAGGGCTGGATTTCAAAGTGCAGCAGCTAGAGCTTCAATCAATTACACTTCCTATAATATGAGTTCTGGGAAGCCATTCTTACAGTCACTCATGGACCATAGGATTGTCCCCTTTATTTGGGACCCTCCCTACTGGAGGACATTGTATCTTATTGTCTCCGGCATGGCTGAGTGATTTGCTTTGGCTGGTGAAATGTGAGCCACAGTCAAAGGTGTTGCTTCTAGACAGAAGCTTTAAGAGCCAGTGTGTGGTTTGCCATGTTCCTCCTTCTTCAGCAATGTTCCAGATGGAAGCTACTCCATCAGCCTGAGTCCTGCGGCAGGGATGACACAGCACAGAGCCATGACCAACCTACAATGGTCACAGAGTACAAACAAGAAAGACATCTTCATTGTTGTAAGCCAGTAAGATGATGGATCCTTTGTTACCACAGTATAA